GAACTCAGGACAATCATGCTTCACCATCTACCACTTGAACCACATCCCAGTGCTTTTTGGTGTAGTAATTTTTCAGACAATCGTGTGTTTTTGCTTGGATCACCCTGGGACTGTGATTGTCCTATTTCTGCCAACACTCAGCAGATCGCACAGAGATTTAAATGCAACCGATGATAACGCAGGACTGACTGAGAGTTTCTCCACATCAGCTGCATTACATGAATGAAGAAATTTTGCTTTTGAAATTTCTTTTTATTTTTTAACTTTTAGGTTTTCTGTTTTTAACCATACTCGGTCAAAACTGTGTAATAAATGCACGAATAAGGCAAGCTTATTGAATGAATAAGCTTGCCTTATTCGTGCATTGTACACCTCACTAAGCCTTAGCATTTTCCATCTTTCTCATTTTGAACATTCTGATGTGCATATAGTGTTATTGCATTATTGTCTTGGTTTGTGTTTCCGTAACAATTGAAGTCAACCGCATTTTCATATTTATTGATTACTTAATAACCTCTTAAGTCTAGTATCAACTAAAATCTTTTCCCTGTTTCTCTAGCATATTGTCTATCTTTTATTTGTCTTTATTTCTTTATTTGTTTATTTTGGCAGCACTGGGGTCTGAACTCAAGGGCTCATGCTTGCTAGGCAGGTGATCTTGAACCACTCCACCAGTCCTTTTTTGTGGGGTAGTTTCAAGATAAGCTCTCCCTGGCTGAGGCTGACTTCAAACATCAATCCTCCTGATCTCTGCCTCCTGAGTACCCGCTGTTGTCTGTCTTTTTAAGCAGCTTTATTGAGGTATAATTTGCATACTATAAAATATATAATTTGATGTTTTTAGTATCGTCACAGAATTGTGCAGCCATCGCCATCATCTAATTCCAGCAATGCTTTATGACTCCAGAAGGAAACCCATGCCCATGAATAAACACTCCCCTTTTCTCTATGCCACATTCTGGCAACCACTAACCTAATTTCTGTGCCTGTGGATTGTCTGTTCTGGACATTTTGTAATTGTAATGATGAAGCATGTGGTCATTTTGACTGACTTGTTTAACATAACATGTTTTTAAGGTTCATTCATGTCATATACATTAATACAGTACATTATTCCTTTTGTTTATGCATTCATCAGTTGGGTTGTTTCTGCTTTCTAACTGTTAAAAGTAATGCTGTTATGAAATTTGTGTTCAGGTTTTTGTGTGCATTTACTTTTATTTTTCTGGGTTATATACCCAGGAGTGGAATTCCTGGTCATACAACTTTATGTTTAACATTTCGAGGGCCTGCCAAACTATTTTCCATAATGGTATACCATTTTCCATTCTCAGCAGTAATGTGTGAGTGTTCCATTTTCTCCACAACATTGCCAACACTTGTTACTGTCTTTTTTACTTTTGCTGTTCTAGTGGATGAGAATCGGCATCTCATTGTGATTTGGTTGTATTTTCCTTAGTGATTTGCAGAACATCAGGATTTCTTACCGGATATAGATCCTTTGTTGGACATGTATATCTTTTCACTGTCTTAATTGCTTATCTCTTTTTGAAGAGCAAAAGGTTTTAGATTTACTATAGATGCAGTTTATCAATTTTTCGTTTGATAATTACTGCTGTGTTTTGCTTTGTTTTGTTTTTTTGGTGACCATTTTAAGAAATCTTTACATTCTTTTTGGTAGTACTGCGGTTTTAACTCAAGCCCTTAAATCTTGCCAGTTAGGCAGTGTACCTCTTGAGCTATTCTGCCAGTCCCCCAAATCTTTGCATTCTTGAAGGTCTCAGTTGATGTCCTATGTTTTTCTCTAGAAACTTTATTATTTTCCCTTGGACCTTTAGATCTGCCACCCATCTGGAATTGATTTTTTTTTTTTTTGTCAGTTCTGGAGTTTGAACTCAGAGCCTCATGCTTGCTAGGCAGACACTTTACTACTTGAGCCACTCCTCAAGTCCTGGAATTGATTTTTAAAAGGAAACATACTAAAAAATTATGTGTCTCCCCTTCTCCACCTAACACTTTACAAATAATATTTTTTTCTTGTTTTTAAAGAATTGGAATTATTTAATTCATGGTTGGAAAAATAACAAAGTGTCAAAGTATTGGTTGGTTATAAAAATGTACCCTCAGGGTGGGTGATGATGGCTCATACCTGTACCCTAGATACTAAGGAAGCAGAGATTAGGAGGATCTCAGTTTGAGGCTACTCTGGGCAAATAGTTCAGGAGATCCCCATCTCCAAAATAACCAGAGCAAAATGAACTGGAGATGTGGCTCAAGTAGTAGAGTGCATGCAAAAAAGCCCAGAATTCAAATCCCAGTAACACCGCCCCCCCCAAAAAAATTTGCCCTCAGGTGATAATTGTAGAGTTCAGACAACGAGCTTAAGATTTGTAGGGCTTGATCCTAAGCTAGAGACTTAGCGAGCATTTCATAAACTTTAGCTCATTGAATCTTTATAATTTTGTAAAGTAGGTAACATTATCGCTTACTTGCAAATGAGAAAACTGAGACCCAGAGAGGTAAATAAACTTTCCTAAGCTCACACAGCTAATAAGTAAACAAAACCATGGCTTATAAACAAGGCAGTCTCCTCTAAAATTCATTCGTCCTTTCACTGTACATTTTTTAAAAGTTATAAAATTCTAATTAAATATTTCTAAAATTTTCAAATTTAACCTGTTCATCTTAAATCACTGTGGTACTTGACACAGCAATAAATGTTAAAGGCCCTATGGAGTTAAGTACATACAGACTTTTAAATTAAGATCTGGTAAAGGAAGCAGAAGACAAATTAATCAAGATCTTACAGGGACAGGAAGCATTGGAATAGTAATCTGATGCTGGGGAGATCAGGTGCTTAGAGATTCTTGTCGGTGGATAATTTTGCAGGAGAAATTTACCTGTGCATTATTTGCTTGCTGTGGTGAGTCATGTTTTCCATGCTATGTAATATAGGAAATGTCCTTTTAAGTGCATTAGAGCCAAAGCTAAAATTTTCTAGGACTTCCTCTGCTGGCTTCCTAGCAGTAATTAAGGTACCTACTTGCCAAAATTGTGCTGGTTACTAATGATGTAAATAAATTTGGGAGAGAAATTAATTTCAAGGTCCATTAAAAACAGAGAGGAAATCAATGTAGCAAATGAAATGGAAAAATAGAATCAGGGAGAGGATTATTTAAGTTTATTTATTTTAGAATTCAGACTTAGCTATTAAATCCTTCTTGTTTCAGGAAGAATACTTCTGATGATAATGGAAACTTTCCATTTCAAACAAATACTTTAAACTTTAAACTGCAGGGTGTCGTGATAAGAATCATTGTGTAGGGTCAGCTTTCTAACTTGGTGATGACAGCACAAGAGTACTGTTGTTTCCCTTTTTTGACCAAGAGAAACATTTGGAAGCTTCTGAAGAGAAATCCAAAATTAAGCAGTAAAACTAGTATTTTTCTGGATATATTGTGGTGATTACTTAGGAATATTCATATTTAATAATTAGGTGGACCCTGTTGAGAAACTCCACCCTGAGGGGCTGCAAAGGATCTGTTAGTTACTCCCTTTTCACACCTGACGCACTTCACATCTAATTGATGGCCACTTAAATGGCCAGGTATTTCACACCTAGTAGATGTGACTTCAGCCTCCCACACCCCATCCCAGGTGTAACCTAATCTCACTTTTCTTATAATAGCTCTAGGCAGCCACCATTACTTTTCAGACTTAGAATTTGAGAAGTCCATTTGCTATTTGGGGTTCTGGACATTTAGTTGAAGATAGTAAATAACTTCTACTTAGGAAAACTGGGCATAAAGAAACTGAGCAATATGTAGATTATTTTAAGTAGAACTAATATCTTTAAATATGAATCCTACCTGGGCACAGTGGTACACAACTGTAATCCTGCCTTTTTAGGAGGCAAAGATGGGAGGATCAAGGCTTAAGGCCAGCTTAGGCAAAAAGTTAACGAGACCTAGTCTCAAAAACAAGCTGGAATTAAAAATAAATAAATATAAAAACAGAGTTTAAAAAAAAAAAAAAACAAGCTGGATGGTGGTGGTTTATGCCTGTAATCCTAGCTATCCAGCAGGTACAGGTAGGAGAACCTTGGTCCCAAGGCCAGCTGGGCAAAACTGTGAGAGACTATCTGAAAAACAAAAGCACAGGTAATGGAGTGTGGTTCAGTCTCTAGTACCACCAAAATGAGAAGATAATCCCTTTGATATTTAATTTGTTTATAAAAGGGATTTAGTCTCAGATTTGCAGAAAAACATACATAAGCAAGATCAAGCAGTTTAGTAAGGTAAACACTGAACCATCTTTATAATGGACAACTATTTACTGTGGCAAAAGTATTTTAGAAAAGCAAAGTGGATTGTATTCTTTTTCTGGGTTTTATTGGTCATATTTCTATTACTAGCTACAATATTGCTGTGAATTTAGAAAACTTGGTAGTTAATTTAGTCCATTTCAGATCTTCCCCTTAGAGCCTTATACCTCCTCTAGTGCCCTTCATCTGTTTGATTTTGTGATTAGAAGGCTAAGTGTCCACCTCCAGTTCATCTTCTACCTGTTGCTCAGCAGATGATCACTGTCTTAACATTGCTCCTTTGTTAAGTATTATGGCTGATGGTACCTTAGTACTAGTCAAGGCACCAGTGCTTGAATTTGGCACTCAGTTGTAATGATTAACTATGATTAACTATTTGCCACATAATCTGCTGGTTGCTGGGAGGACTCCTCCACATACCAGAAAGGAGGAAGTGATGTGGACACAACCATGGAGAGAAAGCCTTATTCAGAAGACGAACTTAAGAATAGGCAGGGTTGGGGATCCAAGAGGGCATCACCTGGGAGAGACGAAGGGAAACAAGCATTAGCATGTACCTGAATTTCATTATCCATGCAATTAATATGTTTTTGTTGAGAAAAGATAGGTGTTGAAATTTAGCTAACAATTTTTAGTTAAGCTTTGCATTTTTCATGTTTGGTGTTTTATTTTACAGGTACAAGAAAATTCCCCAGGACATAGAGCTGGACTGGAGCCTTTCTTTGACTTCATTGTTTCTATTAATGGTTCGAGATTAGTAAGTTCAGTTTTTATAGCTTTGTCTATCGAATTTTATCATCTTTTGAAATTGGAATCCTTACAAACATTATGTAGAGTGTGCTACTAGTTTTTAGAAAAGATCATGTGTTACTAAACACACATGATAAACACACTCCAGTGATTATCATAGTTAAGGGAATAGACTTAACTGGTGACTTACTGTATATGTTAAATATTTAATTTTTATAAACAGAAAGAAATAATGAAGGTAAAAAGATTGCTTTTTAAAGATGTCAGGCTTTTGTAGATTGTTGACAAATGGATTAATAAAGTGTCATTTCCTTGTCAGTTTTCTTGGAACTGAGTGTCTTGATATGTAAGCAGTTTTATTAGAACCACACAAATAGATGTTGAATAGTGTGGAATTAAAACAACTTTTTATAAATTGTTTTCAGTTTACCCCTGGTAACATCCTATAGAAAGGATTATATGATCTCAACAAAGGAAATTCTTCTGATAATAGGGATTGGGTTGGTTTGGGTTTTGTTTTGTTTTGTTTGGAGTCTTAAGTTTTTTTGTTTTGTGTTTTGGTTTTTGTTTTCTTGTTTTGTGGTACTGGGGTTTGAACTCAGGGCTTAACACTTGTGAGGCAGATATACTAATGCTTGAGTCATACTTCTAGCAAGTCTTAAATTTTTGTTCATTACTTACTTATCAGCATCTCTGACACAGTGACCTTTGTTCATTTATACAATGAAAATTTTAACATTCTCTTTCCATCTTCGTTTCCTTCCAGCTCCTAATAAAGTATATATTTAGAAGTGGAGTCCAAGATTAAACTTTAACCCCAGCAAATATTTTCATTTTGAAGTCAAAGTCATTACAGCTTTGTTAGTACACATATCTTGTTTTTAATCACTGAAGTTCCTTCATCACTCTGAATTATGTTGGGTTACAAATTCCATAATCCAGTCAGCTATTTGAAAAAGTTAGTTTGAAGTCGTCGCTAACGTAAGAGTTGTTTTTAATTTCTTTTTTTTTTTTTTTTTTAATTAATGCATTTTTTTTTCATTTTTCTTTTATTATTCATATGTGCATACAAGGCTTGGTTCATTTCTCCCCCCTGCCCCCACCCCCTCCCTTACCACCCACTCCACCCCCTCCCGCTCCCCCCCTCAATACCCAGCAGAAACTATTTTGCCCTTATCTCTAATTTTGTTGTAGAGAGAGTATAAGCAATAATAGGAAGGAACAAGGGGTTTTGCTGGTTGATATAAGGATAGCTATACAGGGCATTGACTCACATTGATTTCCTGTGCGTGGGTGTTACCTTCTAGGTTAATTCTTTTTGATCTAACCTTTCCTCTAGTTCCTGGTCCCCTTTTCCTATTGGCCTCAGTTGCTTTAAGGTATCTGCTTTAGTTTCTCTGCGTTAAGGGCAACAAATGCTAGCTAGTTTTTTAGGTGTCTTACCTATCCTCACCCCTTCCTTGTGTGCTCTCGCTTTTATCCTGTGCTCATAGTCCAATCCCCTTGTTGTGTTTGCCCTTGATCTAATGTCCACATATGAGGGAGAACATACGATTTTTGGTCTTTTGAGCCAGGCTAACCTCACTCAGAATGATGTTCTCCAATTCCATCCATTTACCAGCGAATGATAACATTTCGTTCTTCTTTATGGCTGCATAAAATTCCATTGTGTATAGATACCACATTTTCTTAATTCATTCGTCAGTGCTGGGACATCTTGGCTGTTTCCATAACTTGGCTATTGTGAATAGTGCCGCAATAAACATGGATGTGCAGGTGCCTCTGGAGTAACAGTCTTTTGGGTATATCCCCAAGAGTGGTATTGCTGGATCAAATGGTAGATCGATGTCCAGCTTTTTAAGTAGCCTCCAAATTTTTTTCCAGAGTGGTTGTACTAGTCTACATTCCCACCAACAGTGTAAGAGGGTTCCTTTTTCCCCGCATCCTCGCCAACACCTGTTGGTGGTGGTGTTGCTGATGATGGCTATTCTAACAGGGGTGAGGTGGAATCTTAGTGTGGTTTTAATTTGCATTTCCTTTATTGCTAGAGATGGTGAGCATTTTTTCATGTGTTTTCTGGCCATTTGAATTTCTTCTTTTGAGAAAGTTCTGTTTAGTTCACATGCCCATTTCTTTATTGGTTCATTAGTTTTGGGAGAATTTAGTTTTTTAAGTTCCCTGTATATTCTGGTTATTGTTTTTAATTTCTTGACATTCTTTTACATGAAGTAAATGAATGTTGATAAAACCTTTGCCTGATGACTGTTTTATTTCTATTGATTATTAATGCTACTTTTAAGAAGGTTATAGGCTGCTTACACTAAGAATATAAGCATTACAGTTGTAGTTCTCATTGAGTATGATCTCTGTGTGTTCACAGAATAAAGACAATGACACTCTTAAGGATCTACTGAAAGCGAATGTTGAAAGACCTGTAAAAATGCTCATCTACAGCAGCAAAACCCTTGAGCTTCGAGAGACCTCAGTCACACCGAGCAACATGTGGGGCGGCCAGGGCTTGCTGGGAGTGAGCATTCGCTTCTGCAGCTTCGATGGGGCAAACGAGAATGTTTGGCATGTGTTGGTAGGTATTGACCATGAACTGACTTACAGTGTAGAAAGATGTGGCAGTGGCCATCTCCAGTTTGGGGAGGTGGTTATTATTATTAGATCAGTTTTAGTTTCTGAAAATCAGCATTTATTGCTATTGAAATGTGAATTGATTTCTTTTTTTTTTTAAACTTGAGTAAGATAAGCAAATGTAGAAGCCTAAGAACTCTAGGTTTTTGAGACACCATGTAGTCCAAGCTGGCCTTGAACTTGAGATCCTCCTACTCAGATTCCTGGCTGCTGATTATAAGGATGTACTACCATGCCTGGCTACTTTAAGAACTCTCTTTTCTAATGATTTATCTATAATCAAAAAAGTATGTTGCCAGGCGCTGGTGGCTCACACTTATAATCCTAATTCTTTGGGAGGCTCAGATCAGGAAGATCAAGGTTCAGGGCCATCCCAGGCAAATAACTCACAAAACCCCATCTCCAAAATAACCAGAGCAAAGTGGACTGGAGGTGTGGCTCAAGTGGTAGAGCACCTGCTTTGCAAGTGTGAAACCTTAAGTTCAAACTCCAGTCTCACCAAAAAAAGACAAAAAAAAGTATGTTAAAGCAGATAACTAAGGAAATATTTTAAATATTAAATAGTGTAATTTTTATGCTTGGAAGTTCTAAATATATGTATTTCTTAATTTCTTACATGTAACATTTCTAACAAGACAAATTTTGGGAGTTTTGAAATCACTATAGTTAAGAACTATGACTATAAAACTTGGATGATTATTTCATATATATTAAATTCGGGGTGTATTTTTGTGTCATCCTAGGAAGTAGAATCAAATTCTCCTGCAGCACTGGCAGGCCTTAGACCTCACAGTGATTATATCATTGGAGCAGATACAGTCATGAATGAGGTAATGAGTGTGTTCATTAATAATGCAAACTATGTAACATTTTCTCATTTATGTTTAAGCACAGAAGGATATTTGTGTACTTTGCATTTACAGCTAAAATTTCTTTCTTCGCTGACCAAGGCAGCTTATACCTTCGGGATGTGTCTTCTTAGGTATAGCTGTGAGAAAAACACATACTGTGTGTTGCACAGTTTCTGTGTATGATATACCAAAGTCACTTATGTACCTCAGAACTAAGCCAAATCCTGATTTTCATCTATTTCATTTTGTGTGTCCCATTTTACTTTGTTTTATTTTTGTTTTTTCGGCAGTGCTATTAGATTGTCCCCCTTTTGCTTTTTAAAGTGACAGAACTAGCTCAGTTACATTAGTAAGATCCTTTTCCTCATCTATTAGCTAGTAGAAACATACACTACTAACTCAAAATGGAAGAGAAATAAGGTGCCCCACCAACCAGGTTCTGATAAGAGCAAGACATGTAGAATTTGATGGTAAAAGAGTTTCAGTAAGAATGCTGAATGGGTCTTTTGGAAGTGGGCCCAAGACCTTGAACCTAGTGACCTTGCTTGAATTAATATATTGAATTAAATTTTGCTTAGCCTATTGGTTTTATGTAGTAATTTAATGTTTGGGGCAGGGCCCAGAAACTGAATTTTTTTAGAAAGTTTTCCAGGTGATTCTGATAGGAGCCAGGTTTGAGGCCTGCTGTTCTGAAGTACAGTACCTTGAAACCTTTTTTCTCCTTTGATGCTTTTGCAGTCTGAAGATCTATTCAGCCTTATTGAAACACATGAAGCAAAGCCACTGAAGCTTTATGTGTATAACACAGACACTGATAACTGTCGAGAAGTGATTATTACACCAAATTCTGCATGGGGTGGAGAAGGCAGGTATGGTCATATTTTAGACTAAGTTAAACTTACAAGTCAGATGTATTGTAAACATTGATTGCCTTTATTTTGAAATGTTATTGATTCATTTTAAGGCCCCTTGAAAAAAGAAGTTAACTTAGAATATTAAAACCAATAATTCAGTATTTATAAGCACATATCTAGGAAGCATAGTATCTATGTTATAGTTCTTTACTGACCTAAGAGCTAGCTACATTATTTATTTGAGAAATTGTTGAGCATAAACTGTAATTTTAGAAAAGCCTATAGTTTGGAGATATTCTAGGGTTTGGTAGCAGCAGTTCATAGCATCCTTACCTACACCACCCAAGAGTCTTCAGAATTCAATGTGTAATTTGAGATGTCTTCTAAGATCTGGCCTGTCTGTGGAACACTCGATCAAGTTATTGTCCATTGTCCAGGTTTGTGAACAACCAGTAATAAATAAGACCTTTTCAAGGCATTCAAAATTGATCCATTTCAGAGGGCCTGCCTTATGTAATCTCAATTTGCAGAGAAGCTTCTGTGTACATTTGAATGGCAAATCTTCATGTTGTAAAAGAAAATTACTCCTGTAGCTGGAAGAATACTTAGGTCAAATTAGTACCACATGACTGCTGGTTGAGCAGAGAAGAGATTCTGTGGTTGTTGAAATCTAACACCAAAGAAAATGGTGTGTTCTTTCATTTTTAATTACGTTGACCAAACATTGCTGTTGTTGGAACCCTTCTTTTCGTGGACTCCTGGCAAATATTCCTTTTCTTTGGAAGACATTTTTTTCTTTTGATGTGGTACAGTACTATTGGTCAGCATTCCTTTGGGTAGGCCTTTCCTGACCATTTTCCCTAGTCTGCCCTAACCATGTACTCAGTATCTCTCTGCCTTTGTTTCATGCCTTCCTCAGAGGCTGACCACATGCCATTCATTACATCAAACTTCTCTTAATTTCATTCTTAAACTACCTTTATTTTTGCAGAGGTTCTTGCTGTTGCCTTACCATCACTTAGTTATTTTGATTAATAACCATCTTGTTTTGAAAGGCAGCGATATCTGGAGGTCCATTATTGATCCGTTTAGAGAATTTAATCTTACTTCCTCCAAATTTGAGGATCTAGTCCAGTGATGAATGTAGTTTTTATAGTGAGGAAAGAAGTAATGCATCATTGTACAAATTAGATTTGGGTGAGAAAGGGCTGCAGTTGGCCACTTCCCATTCTCCCAGCTCTTGTGGTGGTACTGTGCTTGGCAAGGGAGAGGCACAGATGTATACATGCATGGCCTACTCTAGGAAATAAGAGACTGTGATGGAAACTAAGACTAGAACTTGATTGTGGAGGGCCTTCAATACCATGGTCAGGAATTTGAATATACTTTGAGCATTGGGATTGTATCAGTAGGCATTCTTTGGTTCCAAACAGTAGAAACCAGATGTCACCATCATAAACAGACATCAATTTATTGATAAAAATTAGTTCATATAGAGGAAGAGACAGCTACAGAACCAGATGTTTAAAGAGCAAGATTCAGAATACTTGTAGGGATTTAGATAGGGAGAGCTAATTGACAATTTCTTCATCAGTCCACTAGTGAAGAGGATGACCTAATTTTTGGTTTTTCCATCATTTCCAAAATTTTCAGCCCTAGGCAAGAAAAGTTGATGGCCTGGGTTTGGCCATGAGCTGCCCTGTTGGACTGGACAGAGCAGGTACCCTGAACGTCCCACTAGCACTGCACAAAGAGACAGAGAAGTAATTTCCCAAAGGGAGGAAGAAAAAAGAATGTTGGGAAATCAACAGGGAGTTGAAAGAAATAATGTGCTCACATCTTTTTAGAAAGATGGCAGGATGATTTAGAAGGGATCTGGATTAACTGTACATGACTGGTTTGTATTAGGTTCTGAAATAGATGTGCAAATGATATCATCATAAAAAGTGGTTCGAACGCTTCAGTAAAATGGCATTCAGCAAATAGTATGAAGTGTCTACCAGGTGCCAGGAACTATTTAGTAGTAAACAAACAAAGTTTCTGCCCTTATAGGTTTTAGCATTTTATTGAGGGAGATGTACAGTAAACAATAAGTATGCAGTGTCTTTGATGATGATAAATGTTTGAAGAAAAATCAGTGGTGTGGTAGAAGGAAGGCAGTGCCTCTGGTAAGATGAAATTATTTAAAAGAATGGAAAGAATGTGTGTGTTTATATTTCAGAACCTCAAAGAAATGCAAGTTGTGGTTAATAACAATAACTTTAAGAAAAAATGCTTTTGTAGTCTAGGATGTGGCATTGGATATGGGTATTTGCATCGAATACCTACACGCCCATTTGAAGAAGGAAAAAAAATTTCTCTCCCAGGACAAATGACTGGTACACCTGTTACTCCTCTTAAAGATGGATTTACAGAGGTAAGATGACTTTACTGCCCAATGAGGTTTCCACCAAAATAATTCCCATGTGTTAATGCATATGGTGGTGGCACTAACTGAAATAGTTGGTGAGTTAAGTATTGATCATCATGTTGAATTTGGGGTTCTTCTGTGATATCCAGATGGAAGTTAGGTGTATGCAGCTGGACTTCAGGAGAGAATACAGAACTAAAGGTGCAGATTTGGAAATCATTAACATTATTCCCATTAAAATAGAAATCATTAGCCCAGTGGATGGTGATAAAAATTGTCAAGGGATTGGACCCAGATGGGTCTGAGGACTGAGGTCAAAATCTTAAACATATGGATGCACAAAGAGGAAATCCAGCAAAGGAAGCTCAGGGGGAGGCCACAGCTCAAGGAAAGTGTGTGGTCAGCTGTGCCAGGTGCAGCTGAGAAGCAGGTGAGAGGAGAGACTCAATGTGGAGGAACACCAAAGTGCATAGTGGAGGAAGTGCTCTCTATTTCAAGAAGCTTGATTGAGAAGCAAGGAGAGCTTGGTATTTGGGCTTATAAGGATTTCTAAATGTTTCTTATGAAGGCATCTCCTCCCCCCCCCACCCCCCCCCCGCAAAAAAAAAAAAAAAAACACATAAAGACAGGGCTGCTGCCACTGTCGTTTCATGGCACACAATTTGGCCATTCCCAATTCTAGGAGAAATGACACTACTGAGAAGTTCGACCCTTTCCTCACTCCCCACCCCACAGTAAGCTCTGGGCCAGAGCCAGTGTACTTCTTGTTTTGACTCCATCATCATCGCTCCTGCCCTCCAATCAGTGCTTCTCTAGATAGTCTGAAAGGATCAGGGGTGAAATGGCAGCCTGGGGAAGGGCCAGAATATAAGCTGCTGGGATGCAGCAGAAGGCATGAGAGCTGACAGAAGTGACACAGTACAGTGACTTTATGGAGTTCATAGACTAGACTGCTGTGAAAGGTGGAGATCTGGTGCCATTTTTCATTCACTGATGAGGATAGATTACTTGGATTCAAGATTTAAGAGATGAGAAATCTTGAGACCCTGTTAAGACCTCCAGCTGATTTCTTCCAGAAGCAATGGAAAAAGACTGGCCAAGATTTCAGAGAGAAAAGCATGGAGTTTAATGTTGAATAAAATGATTTCTGGGTGACTGGGAAGAAGGTGCGAGTAGAGTGTCTCCTAGTGTGGAGGGACATACATGCATTTATAACTAGGGCTAGAAGCCGTATGTCCAGAGAAGAGAGGTGGCAGGCTAGAGAGATGTTTCTAATGCATAGTCCTTGGATTTATCAAAATTAGAAAGGAGTGTCAAAAGGAAAAAATGCCAGGTAAAACTTTGGATAGCTAGTATATGATCCAAGAATATCTATAGGGCAGGTGAAAGTCAATATTTACATACCATTTTAAGTAAACTTACGTAATTTTCTTTTTCTCCTTTTTTTTTGGAAGGTCCAGCTGTCCTCAGTCAATCCCCCAGCTTTGTCACCACCAGGAACTACAGGAATTGAACAGGCTCTGTCTGGACTTTCTATTAGCTCAACCCCGCCAGCTGTCAGTAATGTTCTTAATACAGGTGTGCAGAAAGACTTACTCTCTTATCAATATACTTTGTCTTATTTTAAATTCTGACTTACATAGAATTTAAAGATATAATGCCAGTGTGTCTTGAAAACTGTAATGTGCTCTGCATTGACAGGTCCTGTCTGTGAAAACGTGCATCACAAATGCATCCACACAGAGCCAGTATTTAAACCTCTCTGCATAGTTTAGACACAGAGCCTCTCTTAAATTATACAACTTGTAGAGTTGGGATCCCGCCTTCAGTTCAGTCTGATAGCTCTACTTACTCAACAGATGTTTACCTGTTTCTAAGTTGTAGGGATATAAAAGTAAGCAGTCTACTCTTCCTTTTTTTAGAGAGTCAGTCTTACTCGGAAGTATATTCCTAGTTTCCTCCTTTTCTTTCTTCCTTGTTTTACCTGATATTCTCCTTTTTGTTTCTTTTAATTTTTTTTTAAACAGCTCTACAGAGATAGAATACTCATGCCATATATTCACCCATTTCAAGTATACAATGCAGTGGTTTTTAGTATATTTGCAGTTGTACACCTAATACCTCAGTCAGTTTTAGAACATTTTATTGCCCCAAGAGAAAACCTGTACTTGGCTTCAGTATTCCCTACTTCTCCAAAACCCACCAGGCCTTTTGAAACTACTAATCTCCTGCCTTTGTGGATTTGCTTCATCTGGACAGTTCATCCAATATTTGTGGTCTTTTATATCTAGCTTCTTTCACTTAATGTTTTCAAACAGCTCATTGACATTGTCAAATACATTGACATTTGATTCCTTTTTATTGCTAAAAAATGTTCCATTGTACAGCTATACCACATTTTCTTTATCCATTCAACTGAAGAATATTTAGGCTAAAATATTCTACTTTTTGGCTTTTATGAATAATGCTACTTTGAACCTTTGTTTACAAGGTTTTATATCAACATATGTTTTCATTTCTTTTTGTAATATACCTGGGAGTGGAAATAGACTTCCAGTAACCTACCAAGAAGCAGAAGTAAGGTGAACATTATGGAGTCTGGAGTTGGTCCTCTACATTCAAATCCCAGCCCTCTCCAGAGTGTTGGTTTTATTTCCTAAAGGTGTGTTTTTCTAGATGGAAATTTAAGACTTCAAACATACACAAAAATAGTGGAATAGTATAATGAACACCCATCGCCTAGCTTCTCCAGTCATCAGTGAGTTGCCTCCTACCCCTTGTTTGCTGGTTTCTTTTCCAACTTCATTGAGGTATAAATTGCATACCATAAAATTAACTCACTGGAATATAAAACTCAGTGATTTTAGTAAGTTTATAGAATTGTACAGTCATTATGACAGTTCAGTTTTAGAACATTTCCTATATGAAATCAAATATTAATATCATCAGTACCTAATCATAGACACAGTTGAAAGGGCTCTTAGAATTTATTCCATCCAAGCAGTTGTGAGTCCTTTATATGCTATTATGTGTTTCTTACATCCCATCTATTCCTGAATAGACCTGGTAAAGGTGCACTGGGATACTTCTTAAGCCCCCAGGTTATTCTGTGGAATAATTCTTCCTTTTTAGAATAAGGCTTTCAGATGCCAGCTCTTCTGATTTTAGGAGAAAGCTGCCATCTCTCTTGAAGACCTAGTTTCTTTTTGACATTTTAAACCTTCTCTCACAACATCACAGTTGCACTTGTCTTGTGCACATGTGCTGACATCACTAGAGTTTTACTACAGAGACATGGCTTCCTGAATATTAGAGAGAGAAATGTAAATAAAGCAATAATTGCTCACAAGAGACTGAAAGAAATCAACATTTTCACTTTAAATCATTCACTTTTATGTCAGTTTAGCATCATGACATGTGAGGAGAAACTTTTTTTTGAGACAAGAGTTTCTCTATGTACCTTTGAACTATTGATCCTCCTGCCTTAGCCTCTTGAGTGCTGGCATTACAGTCAGGTGCCAAACAACTTTTTGTTAGATATTTATTTTTCCGTCTTTACTTTTGATTATATCACTTACAAATAGCCCAAATAGTAACTGATATGCCTTTTCTCAAGAAAAAAAAAAAAACTTCTTTATAGATGTGAAAGTTTGAGGATTGTGAAATTTTTAGAAAATGAACAAATTTTGAAGTGGCACTAGTCAATGTGATTTTTGGTATACCCCTTAAATTCCCTGTCCACCTTCCTTGCTTGACTTTTCTGCAGAGAACTTACTGCCATTTTTCATGCTACAGATTTTATTTGTTTGGTATCTCTCTCTCTCTCTCTCTCTCTCTCTCTCTCTTTTCTGCTCCTCACTAGAATGTAAATTTCCTGAACATTGTGATTTCTGTTTCTTCACACTATAAAGCGTGCCAACAATGTGTAAGATACAGTAGATACCCTCTAAACTTGAATGAACACACCATCCACATATGCAACTCCTTAGTTTTATAACAAAAGAACTCTCTTCTCTCCTTTTTTTTTTTTTTTTTTTTGTGGGACTGGGGTTTGAACTCAGAGCTTCATGCTTGCAAAGTAGGCACTCTACCACTTGAGCCACACATCCAGTTCATTTTGCTCTGGTTATTTTTGGAGATGGGGTCTCAAAAACTATTTCCCCAGGCTGCCTCAAACCACAGTCCTCCAAATCTGAGCCTCCCAAGATTACAGGAGTGAGCCACCAGCACCTGACCAGTTAGCTGTTTTTGAGGCAGTGAATAGATTTACCCTTTGAAAGTGAAAAGTTAATGTGAAAGTTTTTCTTAAGAAATATAGGGAATTTGGAAGCAAATCTGGGCTCTTTTCATTTTCTAAAAATCAAGATATAAAGACACCTTGCTATTGTATTATCACTACTTAACAGGGTACAAGGTTTCTGACATCTTTGTCCAGACTAGAGAACAGCTTCCAGTATTGCATTCCAGGATTCAGTGGAACCCTTGTCAGTACTCCAGCTTGGCTTTCCCTTTTTTTTTCCTTTTGCCTGCCTCCAATTTCTACAGAAAAGTAGACACTTGAATAAATGAGATGGCTTGAATATGGTTGGTTCATGCTTGTAGGCACTAAGAATACCTCTTTAAGACAAAAATCTACCTAGAGTCTGTGTACAGTACAGTTTGAGCATTTTTATCTGAAATGCTTGGAAGTAGAAGTGTATTTGCATATACATAATGAGATCTCTTAGGGATGGAACCCAAGTCTAAACATGAATTTCATTCATGTTTTGTATGTAGCTTATACATATAGCCTAAAGACAATTTTATGCAAGTTTGTAGTGCATGTGCAGTTTGACTTTTATCCCTCACATAAGGTCAAGAGTGAATTTTTCCACTTGCAGAGTCACATTGGTCCTTAAAAGGTTCATATTTAGGAGCATCTCAGGTTTTGGATTTTCAGATAAAGGGTGTTCTACTTGTATTATTATCGTTTCAACACCAGAAAACCTCCTGCTTGACTAGGTGGTAGATATCAGTAGACAGTTCTTCATCAGGGTCACTTGTATGTGAAGTATATAACCTCTGTAAGCCACCATCAGTACAGATGGGGCTGTGTTAGAATGCATAGGAATGTCATGGAGCCTAAGGTCAAAGGAAATGAATGTTCAGGAAGCCAAGTCATCCTCTCCATCTCTAAAGTTCATGTGCTCTTTTGACTCTTTGGGACATCTTTGTCATCATCTTCTCTCACAGACGAGTGTTCACTGCTTCACAGGGCATAGGTTCCCCAGCAATCCCAGGTTTACAAAGCCTGCTGCTTCTGGGACCCAGGAGAGATTGACTGCAGTCCTTGTGTCCCATTTCCAAATTTCTAAGACAGTTTCTAGCCCTGTTTACACCAGGTGCAAACCTCTTAACCAGTGAGCTTAGCCAAGGGTGGGTTACACAACCTCCCACCCCTTAACCAGGCTCTGACTTTCTGTAAGGGCCATGAGCAGAGGAGTGTCAGCCGTGAAGTGAAGTATGTAGCAAGAAATTGGGACCAAAGAAGATATGACTGTGGTGAGGAATTGCTGTAAACAATATCCTATGACGGTATGATGATTCTTTATCAGCAGAATTTGTTTAAAAATGTTTTTAAATGTGCTTTTATTTTTTAGGTGTACCCACAGTACCATTGCTGCCACCACAAGTAAATCAATCCCTCACTCCTGTGCCACCAATGAACCCAACTACTACGTTACCAAGTAAGCAGTGGGGACTAGACATGTGTGTAATGGTAATGTTTGCATTGGAGAATATCTCACGTGTGTGTGTGTGTGTGTGAGATCAAGTAGGGGTTGAACTCATGGCCTCACACCTGCCAGGCAGGCACTCACTTTAGCAACTCTACCATCCCCATTCGTGTCTTTCAGTCATTTTATGTCTGCACCAACTTTGTGATAAAGAAAAGCAAGTGGCAACTTTCCTTAGCAGGCAAGGAAACAGAAATGTTAGCTGCCTAGCCAAGAGCTCCTTACCCCCAGCCTACTCCCACCCTCCCCAACTCCCACAGTGCACTTATAACTTTCTGGTAGTCATTCTTGTGAATATCCTGGAAGAGAGCACTCCTTATTTGGGTCTTTAGTAACTCTAACATTATAAGTTTTGTCTTTTTCTCTTTGTGTTCCCAGTGAAGACCAAGTTCTTTTATCTAGCTGATAACAATGAAATATTATCTCAGTGGTCAGTTTTACTTTTGTTGTTGAGGACCTTTAATTGCACAGCTAAAGTCGTCATTATACAGACATCATAGGCCATTAAGCAAGTATGTGTCCATGCTCAAGTACATAGTGATGAAATGGGGTGGACTGTTTATATGTGAGCAACAGGGGCCATAGGTATATGTGGGGATATGTTTTTGTGAAGGCCAGAGAAAGGAGATTTATTATTCAGCCCAGTACATATCATGGGAAAAGGCAAAGTGAGCACTTTAGTCTGTCTTCAGCCATCATCAGGGTACAAACATAATCTTTAGGTTGGACTTCGGTTTTTCGTTTGTTTTAATTTTTATTAGAATACATTAGTTATAAAGGTAGACTCATTGTGACATTTCTGAATAGTCTTACACTGGACATTGGTTAGATGTGTCTCCACCATCTCTCCCCACCTCACCCCCTCCCTGCCTCACCAAAAACAATTGCGAAAGAGTTCATTGTTCTATTTCTTATATATTACAAAGTACATTGAGCATATTCACCCTCCTTTATCCCCTCCATTTACTCTTCCCCCTCTTATTTTACAATCCTGTCCTTCATTTTTAATTCCAAAGCCAATGCTCAAAGAGATTTCTCAGTGTATCTCAGCTATGAATACACTGTACTTTGGTCAGTTCAGCTCCTCTATTACTCTCTTGTTACCATTTCCCTCCTACCCTACTATTCAACAGCTTTCAGAGTATAGTTACATCACTACTTGCACAGATGCAATGAATTTCAATATCGTTGACATTACTACTTTTGCACTGTAAGTCTGAAATTATTTCAGAATAAAAAAGAAAGCCAAGGGCTGAAGATGTGACTCAAGTGTAGAGTGCTTGCCTAGCAAGTGCAGAGGCCCTGAGTTCAACCAGTACTGCCACAAAAACAAGCCAGAGAAACTGGAAACCTCAACCATCGAAGAAAAATCCACAGTTTCTAAAATAATTCAGCCTTTCTCCCATGCACATGGGCCATTATTGTTCTTGCTTCAGAGTTTTAAGAGCATTAGTTATTTGTTTTAACCTTTGCCCATTTAGCCATTTAATAACTTAGGTATAGAGATAAATTTCAATTAAGTAAGATTCTGTTGTTGCTAATGTTATTCCATTGCAAAACTGCCATGCATTAAGTGAGCCTCTGGAGTTCGCACTTTGGAGTGGGTTATGTTTTTTGCAGTACGTAAGAATTTATTCTCTTCCCCTGTGCTTAGGTCTGATGCCTTTGCCAGCAGGACTGCCTAATCTCCCCAACCTCCCTAACCTCAACCTCCCTGCGCCGCACATCATGCCAGGTGTTAGTCTGCCGGAGCTCATGAACCCCGGTATGTTGCACATCTTAACCTCCTAGGATTCTGATAATAAAATGCTGTATTCAGGAGAGCCAGTCCTTTAGTTCAGTTTTTTTCTGAAAGGGCAAATAAGCAACAAATTTCAGCTACTTCAAACAAGTATTAATCTTTTTTATTTAAAAAGCTTAAAAAATAAGGAGTGAAAAGAAGAATATCTTTGTGGTTCTCCTCTGGCTACGCTTCCTCTCTACTCAAACACCAAAAAAGGCACCAACCATAGAAGAAAATACCAATGGGTGGCATTGCCACACTGAATTTACTGAATTTACCTCCATTGGCCAGTGGAGGTGTATGAATCCTCATCCCTCTCTTTATTCTTGCTTCCCTGCTGCCAGCAGGGAAGTAACAGTTCCTTCTTAGTGGACCCCAGGCCCAGAAACATAAATGACCATCCTTGGCTCGTCCTTGACTGTAAAGTGACCATCCTTGCTCAGCCAGTTGGGCTGAGCAAAGAAATAAAACCCTTTGTTTTGGGTTTTTGGGGGAACAGGATATCTCTCTGTAGCCCAGGTTGGCCTTTAACTCTTGAGCCTTCTGCTTTAGCCTCCTGAGTGTTGGGATTACAATCATGTGCCAACATGCCCAGCTAAAATTCCTCATTGTTAATAGATGCTTTTATAATAAGAACTGTGAGAGATTTAGCTGCAGATAGTTAAGATAGCAGATATGCAAAATATGTGCACTCAGATTTTGTGCCTGGACAAAAATGAAGCAGCAACACCCCCACAATTCTGCTCTTAGAATTACTGATGATCCAAATGACTGCATTCTGAATGGCCCATCAGTGACTTCAGTGAGTGGTCCTACTACCATGGTGCTCATTGTCACTGTTGCATTTCTGCCTAGACTAACTAGCCACTTGTAGCATTTACCATCTGTGTGTACTCATTAACTCACTTAGTTCAGTGCAGGTGTTTAAAAGCAAAGGAAATCCTAATAACCTATTGTGTTAGTGCTCCCTATGTTTTTTCTTTGGTGTCCTGTATTCTTGGCTCCTCAGCCACCCTTTTCCAAATTCAGTAGGTTCTAATAGCAGTGAAGATTTTGTCAGCCAGTGGTTGCCCTGATGTATGTCTTACAACTTGCCTTCCCTCTGTTGTTGATGTAATACCCCTTTCCTTTCTGCGTTGTAAAATCACTGATATCCCACCTACAATAGTAAATAGTTGTCCATCCTTGGGCCTACCCAAGTGCTGGGTTCCTGCAGCCCTCACAGGGCAACCCGTGTCTCTTCTTCCCTGTGCATAGTAAGAGGCAGCTGTAACTCAGCTCACCACTTGCCTGGGGGATCGGAATCCTCCTGTCCAGGGTAGACTCCCTCACCTGCTGACTGGCTGCTGTCCTCAGCCAATTTCCCTAGAGCTAGGCTGAGGCACATGGTACCTAGAAGCCCAGGAACCTTTGCCCTTGGCCTATGTGGCCTCCACCTGGAGGTCAACAGAAGTTGTGATCTATGCTCTTCCCTCAGCTTCAGGGTCCCTAGTAAGGTACAGATACAAATGATGATTTGACATGACAATGCTCTTTTAGTGCTGGGAAGATACGTGATCTGTGTCATTTTTGTCCTAGGTTTGCCACCTCTTCCTTCCTTGCCTCCCCGAAACTTACCTGGCATTGCACCTCTCCCCATGCCTTCCGAGTTCCTCCCATCATTCCCTTTGGTTCCAGAGGGCTCTTCTACAGCCAGCTCAGGGGAGCTGCTGTCTTCCCTCCCACCCACCAGCAGCCCACCTGCCGACCCTCTCACGACTACTGCAAAGTCAGACGCTGCGTCCTCACTCACTGTGGATGTGATCCCCCCCACTTCCAAGGCCCCCACCACTGTTGAGGACAGAGTCAGCGACTCCACCCCTGCCAGCGAGAAGCCTGTTTCTGCAGTTTCGGATGCAAATGTTTCTGAGTCACCTTAACTTTGAACCATTCTTCAGAATTTCTTTAACCACAGGATCGTGTCTGGAAATGCAAACAATTATTAATTTCATACTAGTTTGTACCTTATCTATAGGTGTCCTGTAAATAATTCTAAGGGGAAAACTAAGCAAGAGGACATGGGCTTATATCCTGCCAAATTGGGGTGGGCTCATGGGCCAGAAGGGAAATGTCAGAAAGTCCTTGTATTTTAAACAACCAAAAAGAATTGTAAGGGTGGCTTTTTGCCAGGCATCCACTGCCGTTCTGGGGTGTACAGCTTTGGGAACAGAGGTAGCAGGGTATCCGCTAGCTTCCCAGTTCCCTTGCTGCTCCTTCTATAAGAAAATGAAATATTTTATGCCTCGTGCTAACACGCAACTTTGTAAATGATTTGCAAGAATGCAGACCACCTCACTAAATCGCTGAAGGAAAAGGTCTCTGAGTTGCATCTCTATTAAAGTTTACACAAAGATTCCAGTTAAAGATGTTAACATTACACAATGTGCACTCATAATTGAACATCTTTTTATTCAGCCTGTACACAGATCCTTGTTTTGAGCTCTCAGAATTACTCAGACAACATTTTGTAACTGCTGCTGTTGCTTTACACATCCCCATAGGTGGCACTTCAGGAGAAATAAAGGTGATGTTGCACAGTTTTAAACCAGAAGGTGGCACTTTGTGGCTACTTAACGATAGCACTGTACTGGGAAAGCATAGAAACAGCAATAAATGACAGTGACTTTACTTTCTTCTTGTGTTACATTCACATTACAGCTCAGTTGCCACATGCACTTGTTATCCTCCAAAGTAATTGTTCATGATTTATGTTTGCTTTTTTTAAGTTTTCTAAGGGAGATGGTAAGTTAACTGGAATTGATTTATTGAATGAAATTAAATGCGTATTATACCCGTTTTTGAAATGAGATGAAAAGTGGTTCATTGACTTTTGGTCTGATACTGATACAAGTGATCCTGCAGTGGTAGATGTTGCTGAGGTGGTAACACTCCTACCTCACCTGTTACACTCAGCTGGAAACTAGTTACCAACCCAAGCTGGTACCTCTACCAGGAGGCCCAGTGCCAACCAAGTTTTATACTTACCCATTTGTAGAGCCAAATGTGTGCCTAAAACTAAATGATAAAAGAAGGCTCTTTCAGTTAATAATTGAGGGGGTGGGGGGTTGTTTGTTTGTTTTGCAAAGAGGTATTACAACTGGAAGGGAAAATACAAGTTTTTTGTTTTTTGGGTTTTTTTGGTAGGACTGGAGTTTGAACTTAGAGTTTCGTGCTCTACCGCTTCCGCCATAACTCCAGTTCTTTTTCTTTGGTTTTTGGAGATGGGGGCTTCTGAACTGTTTGCCTGGGCTGGCCTTGAGCCTCAGTCCTCCTGATCTCAGCCTCCCAAGTAGCCAGGATTACAGGTGTGAGCCACTAGCACTGACTACAAGCACATTTTAAATGTTAACAATTCTTGGCCTTCCAGAACAGGGAAAGTTGAGAAATGTATTACTCTAAAAGACATTCACATTAAAAACAAATGTTGAGGGAATCCCTTAGTGAAAAACGAGTAATTTTCAAGCTTTACAGAATTACTTATTTTAACAGTAGTTCCTTCAATGCAGTAGTTCTTAACTCTTATAAGTTCTTATTTGAGAACAATAGTCCTGGACCGTCTTCTGGGAACATATCTGTGGATGTGTATATGGAACACTGAACTGGGGGGAGAAACTTGACACACATGAAGGAGGATGGGCACAGACTTCCCAGCTCACTGGTCTTTCCTGAGGTAGGGAGCACTTTGTTCAGGAAAACAAGCTCCAGAACCCCTAGATTTGGGTACTAGGGATTGAACCTGGGGCCTTGTGCATGCTGGGGACATGCTTTACCACTAAGCTGTACCCCCAAGTTTTGATCTTTATAGGCAACAGTAAATCCTGTGCACACATTTTCTGACAGTAGGCTACTCGCCCTGACCTTGTAGTGCAGATAGGCCAGGGAGCTAGTGTTTGGGTGCCCCAGGACAGGTGCCCTGGTCATGGAGATGGGACAGCCCTGGGGAAGAGCCCATAAAGTTAAAAGGCCCTTGTATCATGCAGCATAAGTGCAGGTTCACACAAGAGGCACACAGGCAATAATGGAGGTGGAAGCATTTGTTCAGATTAGGTTCATTTATCTCAGAAATTCTTAGAGTAATAGGGGCTTAAACAAGTTCACTCCTCTCCCAGACCCAGGTCGAGGTAGTCAGCCTGTGACAGGCCTGGCCCAACATGGTTTTCAGACCTTGGCTCCATCCTGTGGTTCTGGGTGTAATTTCCACTCCCAAGGTCTTAGGTGGCAGTTGGAGCCCCAGCCATTCCATCCTTGTTCAGCCAGAGAAGAAGGGCGTCCCTTTGTGGGATCTTTCAGCAAAGTTTCATACAGCACTGCAGCATACATCCTGGCCTGTGTGGAGCTGCAAAAGAAAACCACCAGTGAGGGACAATGAGCAGCTGCCCTGTGTTTTGCAAAGACGACAGCAATGCAAGAGGGAGCTTGGCAGTTTTCTGAGTTGACATTGGTCGTGCAGTCCTGTGTTGAAGACACAGAGGTGATGATGCAGGGATGGGGAGTCCTCCCAGGCTGGACTGTCTACACTGGTGTGGGAAAGAACCCATGGAGGCAGCCAGCCTTGCACTGCTGCTGTCACCAGGGCCTCTATGTTCATCTGGGCTGGATGGCTTTGCCTAGGCCATGATGAAGGCCAACAGCTGCACCTAGGTCCTTTCCTGAAAATTGCAAAGACCAGAAAGGGCCAGGACCACCTCTGTGGGAGCTGACAGGAGACGGGGGAGGAGACCGTGGGCTCTGCTGCTGAAGGATTCCAGCTGTGGGGTCCCAGGGTGTGGGGCAGCATGGACCCAACTGCTGTGCTGGAACCTCCCTCCTGTTTACTAGAAAATAAAATGCATCTTTTGCTAATGATAGGTCAAAGGCTGTTTTCTTTCAGCTTATGGCCCTGTTTTATGTTACCTTTTAAGGAGGAACCCATAGCTTTCCCCCTGTAATTCTGTGAGCACCCAGCAAGAGTTTCAACTCTTCTTTAGGTTAGTCACAATTATAGTATAGATTCCCAGGCTCTTGGTTGGTTTGAATGTCCCGAGACCCTGAACACTGACATTTCTTTCTCTTAGTGAGGCAGGATAGATAGGGGGAAATGAGGCATGGAAAACAGCAGCCAAGAAATTAGGAGAAGCATTGTATTAACGAATAGCTTGATTAAAAGCATACAATTTTTGCTTTCTTTGGGAACTGAGCGAGGCTATCTTAAAGATGTGGGGGTGGAGGGGCTTGTGAAAATGACTCCTCTGGGCACAAAAAGTTTCAAAAGGAAAATACCTCAAAGATGAAACCCTGTCGAAGGTGCCCATCTGACAGGACCTATCCTTTGTTTAAAGGGATGCTCAAACATCTAAGTCAAATTAAATGAGTGGGCCAACCTTAAAATCTATAGGCCCAATTATTAAAACAGTGGAACAGCAAGAATGGTTAAATATACCAGATGTCGGAACAAAGGAGAACACTTTTCCTAAGGTGAATTTGAGACAAATCCCAACATACTTTTTCACCATAAATTAGAGTACTCATTGCACTTGCTATCAGATGTTCCCGCACCCATGTTTGGACTGTACTAGGTTTCTGTCTGAACTGTGTACTACATTTCTGTCTGGACTGTGTTCTATATTTCTGTCTTTGCTTTACCTATAAACTTTTTTTTTTTTTTTTTTAGCAGTACTGGGGCTTGAATTCAGGGCTTCCACTTGCTAGTCAGGCTCTCTACCACTTGAGCCACTTCTCCAACCCTGTTTTGTGTTGGGTAATTTCAAAATAGGGTATCTCAAACTATTTGCCTGGACTGGCTTCAAACCACGATCCTCCCGATTTCTTGCCTCCTGAATAGCTAGGATTATAGGTGTGAGCCACTGACACCCAGCTCTAATAGACTTTCTAGATCTCTTCCTCAAAGTGTCCTAAAATTCTTTTATGCAATATCAACTTGACACCAGAAGGCCGGGTGCAGGACTCCTCCCTTTTGGAGAACTCCTCCCTGGAGCCTCATGGGATACAGTAACAGTTGTTTGGGGACTCATCCGGGATCATATCATCCAGGTGAGTTTATTTTCCTTTTTCTCTCTGCTCCTCTGTGTGCTGACCCCAGCTCTGCTAAGATCTCACTCCCTTTCTCCTGTTTCCTTTCTCTGTATGCTGAAGCTGCTGCCAGCTTTCCTCAAACCCCGCTCCCTCATGAGGTAGAAAAGAGCTCCCCTACCTCCTCTTTAAACCAGGCAGCTTCCCCGGAATAAGGTTCTGTTAAATCCACATCTGTGGGGGCAAAACTCCTAAGATTGCAAAAACCAGGCTCACCCTGGCTGCCTGTCTCAAAGTGCCTTACTCAAGCCCTATAAAGTGGGAGCCATACAGAGATGAGCACCCAGGAAACAGGACATTTGGAAGGATGTCACAATCTGATGCAAAGATTTTCCTTGCACTCAGGAATATTTTAAAATCCTGAGGTGAAACTTACGAATTCAACGAAATTAATATTCTGAACTTTCTCCTCCCTATACACAGAAACAGGACCAGAAAAAAAAAATGAGTGGAGATTTTAGTAACCCTAACAATTACCCTCTGGGAAAAAATAGGAAGAGAAGTGGAAAAGGGGTGTCTTGCTCACACAGCTTCAGGCAATGATGTATTCTGGCCACCTCTCAGGTCTCGGGAGGCCAGCCAGGCACACCTAAGGTCAAAGATGCACAATTCTGCCATGTTCACTGGAAAAACTGGCCGCTTCCTTGTCTCTGACTCCACTTGCTCCTTCTATGTAGACTTTGTTTCCTCTCCAATTCTGCCCATGCTGGTCTCCCTAACCAACTCCTACAGCATCTTCATGCAGCTGTTTTTCCTTCTGTTCTCCTATGATTCATGTGCATACTTTCATTTTCCTTTTAAAGACAACTGGATTTGAGAATAAAATTATAAATTGACTAAGTTCTTTTAGGGTCATTAGGGTTTTTTTGCATTGGAGTTACTTAAATTAGAGAAAAGCATGTATCTGAAACTGCAGTTACAGGATTAATACATAGAGGTTTTTGTTCTTAGCGTATTCTCCCTCCTGTCTCCCTTTTTTCTTTTTTTTTTTTTTTTGTCTGTCCTAACATAGATTTACTATTGAAGATTATTTTAAAGTTTTATTAGCTTTAGCTGGAATAAAACATTCTGAAAGTCTAAGTTATATAAAACTGGGAAGCAGGGATATATATGAGTCTTTTTAAATATCCAAGCAGCAATTTTACCCAATGCAGAGGATCTCAAAGACTGGGTCCCTAGCCATTCCTCAGAGGAAATGGGCACTATTGCTTATAAGTAAAGGCTATACAGGGCAACCATGACTTCAATCAAACACCCCTTGTTCTGTAAATATAATAAAAATATAGGATATAAATTAAAAGTAATGGGGGGGAGCAAACTCAAATACGCCTCAAGATTAGCTAACCTTGAATAGTTATCCAAGCTTTACATTTATTCAGTCTTCTTCAAGGTAATTTTAAAAAGGGTTAAATATGATAAGTTCCAACAAAGACAAAAATACCACTGTCAAAACCAAAACTAGTCCATTCTGTCTAGCTAAGAGTGCTTTTACTTTTTATTTAAAAGAGGGAACTCCGCCTGGTGCTGGTGGCTCATGCCTGTAATCCTAGCTACTCAGG